CTGGGTGACATCATACAAGACTAGGAAGTGTGCGAGAATCCACACGAGAAGGGGTTAACATTTTGGCGATAAGGGTGAAGCTGTATGTGCCAGCAATGTCATCTTAGAAAGCAATACAGGTGACATGCTAAATTGTGGTGAATTTGTGATGTTCTGCAATAGACTAATTCTGCAACACTTAGGAGACAACATCCTGGAAAATATTTCTTGATAAACTCCAATGTATTTTTTAATCTTTTGCTGCACCACACTTGCTGGTCTGCCGTAACTTTCTTCCAAATCTTGAAAAATCTCCCTCGATTTTATGCTAAGTTGCCAGACTTTGGGTTATTAAGATGATCTCCATTGAATCATTAAGGGCCCTGACAATTTTTACAAACCTGACAACTTAACATGGTCAGTTAAGACCTACCCACAGACAACCTGACTCCAAAAGTAATGTCTGAATGAGTTACAGGAAAAAGTGAAAAAGTAAAGCCACGCGGGGGAGAGAAATACCCCAATTTTATGAAGAATCAGACACCTACCCCCTGAATCCATAACTCCTGAATCCTACAGCCAGCCAGCAATGAGTAACAATAGAGGTTTCCTCTGGTCTATGTATGTATGCTATATCAGCCCTACTGTGATATCACATCTCACACCAGCAAACCATTGGGTGATAACAGTAGAGAGCTGTAAACAGTATAATACACAGTGCTCAATGCTTTACTAGTGTATATAACTCACTATTGGCACCATGTCCTGCTCTCCATCATGTATATTGATTCCATCATATACTATACACTGACTTCTGTATCTTACAGTTACTGCATACTCAGAATCAATACATTACTCATGCAATTGTCTGCCTCCATGTTATCATACTGCATACTGCTTTCTTGAAACTTGAACGTTAGAATTCTCAACAGGAAAACGGCAACGACAAAGGAAGTTCTGTACTCGGCAGGAAATTTCAGTTTTGATGCCCATGCAGCAGTTTTAGAGAGGCCCGGCATACACTGTGCACAATACTGTTGGTGGAACATTATGCCACCCTTTATGAGACCTAAGTGACCATTTGAAAGGCCGTTATAAAATAAACACCTGTCTTTTATCCCAATCTGTTATACTGCTAGATTAAGTGTGCGAGTAAAATGGTTTATCTGAAGCTCAAATAGTGGAGTCACATACAAAAGTTTTGTTTCATTTCATAGTATATCTGATAGACATCTGCATAATTTGACCCCATGGGTTGCTCTGTGAAGGTTAATTTAGATTTAATAGTTGGTGAATATATCATTAATAGGCCAGCCTTTAGTCAAAATTCACTAGCTTCTCACTGACCATCAGAACAGCCAAGTCAAAGCATACATTTCCAAGGTTAGAAAATTATTTCTGGATCTACAATCTGTCCAATTTGATGACAAAAAAATCTACTTTTGAAATATACGAAAATTCTCTTTATTTCAGGATTCCTCCTCCTTCACATATAGATAAAATGGCAATTCAAAAGTTGCAGGATTTTGTACGAAGTGTTAAAAAAAAAACTGGGGAATTCAAGGGAGAGAGAGGGAGGGAGTGGGGCATGGGGGAGAAGGTCCATGAGCTTTATCTGCTCATTAATTCCCGTACAAATTTTGTCCACCAAAAGACACCAACATTTAAACTACCGGAAATAGATTACTACAGATGTGACTATGACAGCTAAATCACACTACAACCAACGTAGAATATTTCATATCACATTTAAATAGACTAGTTTTGGTTCAAGCAAATCCATTTGTGAATCTCCTTTCAAATAGGGTTCCATAACCCTTACCTGTACTTCAGTGTCCTCCACCTGTACTGTAATACAGGGGTCCCGCCAGGTGAGGATCAGATCCACCAAAAGGTCTCAATTAACTTTACAAGATAAGCCCTTTACCAAGAGCATGTACGTCTGGGCTTAATGAATGATAATAGCGCCATAGTATTTTCATAATGAAAGTCACCTTCACTGGTTGTATTTACAGTATGTTTTGGCCTTTTTCCACAAAAAAAAGCACTCCAGGAGAAAATGAAGGGAATCATGTGCAAGCAGCAGCACAAAAACTCACTGCAGAATACCCTTACATGCTATTTTTTCCTGGGAATATTAAATAATACTTCAAATCAACACCAGCAATCTATTAACAATATATTCTTAACCTTTACCTTGATCCTGTTCCTTCCTTGTTATGACATCACACTAACCATAAATATCCAAATGTACAGCTTCTTCCGTAAAAAAATTAAAATCCTTCATGTCTTTTTCCTCCAGTAATGACTGTCCTCCATCTTTCCTATTACTCATACTGGGAGATTCATAGAAAATGTAATTATGCAGTCAGGCTGGGTGGGGTGAATACGCTCCTGCTTATAGCAAATGCCACAGATGGGGTTTTACAATCAGAACAAGGAAAATCAAACAGTATTAGCCTTGTATGCCATCAATATAAATCCTGATCATTTCAATTACTAGTATTGATCATCTGAGCTATAAAAACCTTCCCCAAAGTGCTGCCTTATGTGTGAGGCTGGATATCTGGGGCGTTTTATCCAAACAGAAGAGAAAGCTCCTTAATTTAATAATTTTAGCAAATTTAATATTTTTCTCACCACACTGAAAATTATTTATCATTTAACAATAATCCATTATAGTAATGTAAGCAGAAGAAACCTGCCTCCAAATCTACAAATAATTTCGAGAAATCATAAAAAATGTGAAAAACACCAGGCATAAATTTACCAACCACCTTGCTGAACCTACTGATAATAATAAATCACACAATGCCTTCACTGTGATATTAAATGTCAAAACACCAGAGTTCTATTTTCAAAGCAAAGGTTGCCTATCTCTTTGACCTTTAAAATGAAAGTATTTAAGGCCTCCAGCAAACAATGCTCTCTTGTGACAGCCTATCGCAATATCAGCTGTAATGTTTTTTCGCTACAAGGGGAGGAGGTCATATTTCCAGTTGAAAGTTCTATCTATCAGGGAGCATTTACACAAAAACAACACCCTGCTGAGAAAATTGTAATAAGTCACTTATATTATCATCTATGATGCAAAATACCCTAAAAATACAAATTGGTCTCATCTTTCCTATTTTCATTACACCCATACATAAATCCATATAAAATTTGAGAGCACTTGGTTAGGTCTGTAGTCAGTATATATGTGACAGGCCCATAGCAATTATGATAATTCATGCTTCATGCAATCATTTGTTACCTCAAGCTATGTTCAATGCTGCTGCCACATATTTTATATCATATGTTTGTGTCAGCTGATAAAATCAATAGACGCCCAATTATTGTTATTTATTCATCTTTATAATTTATTTGAAAATTGGTGAACATCAGTCTATTGATTTCCACAAAAATTAAAATAGAATAAAATGATGTTGTGATCTACATATATATTTGTGATCTAAATATATAAAACAACGATGACAAATAATAATAATAATAATAATAACCCCACTTTTTCTACAAGCACCAAAGTGATCAGAAGTCACATAAACATATCAACTATCAAAATTTACTTCTCAATTCAAACTCACCGTTCATAACTCNTCTATTAACAATATATTCTTAACCTTTACCTTGATCCTGTTCCTTCCTTGTTATGACATCACACTAACCATAAATATCCAAATGTACAGCTTCTTCCGTAAAAAATTAAAATCCTTCATGTCTTTTTCCTCCAGTAATGACTGTCCTCCATCTTTCCTATTACTCATACTGGGAGATTCATAGAAAATGTAATTATGCAGTCAGGCTGGGTGGGGTGAATACGCTCCTGCTTATAGCAAATGCCACAGACGGGGTTTTACAATCAGAACAAGGAAAATCAAACAGTATTAGCCTTGTATGCCATCAATATAAATCCTGATCATTTCAATTACTAGTATTGATCATCTGAGCTATAAAAACCTTCCCCAAAGTGCTGCCTTATGTGTGAGGCTGGATATCTGGGGCGTTTTATCCAAACAGAAGAGAAAGCTCCTTAATTTCAATAAATTTTAGCAAATTTAATATTTTTCTCACCACACTGAAAAATATTTATCATTTAACAATAATCCATTATAGTAATGTAAGCAGAAGAAACCTGCCTCCAAATCTACAAATAATTTCGAGAAATCATAAAAAATGTGAAAAACACCAGGCATAAATTTACCAACCACCTTGCTGAACCTACTGATAATAATAAATCACACAATGCCTTCACTGTGATATTAAATGTCAAAACACCAGAGTTCTATTTTCAAAGCAAAGGTTGCCTATCTCTTTGACCTTTAAAATGAAAGTATTTAAGGCCTCCAGCAAACAATGCTCTCTTGTGACAGCCTATCGCAATATCAGCTGTAATGTTTTTTCGCTACAAGGGGAGGAGGTCATATTTCCAGTTGAAAGTTCTATCTATCAGGGAGCATTTACACAAAAACAACACCCTGCTGAGAAAATTGTATTAAGTCACTTATATTATCATCTATGATGCAAAATACCCTAAAAATACAAATTGGTCTCATCTTTCCTATTTTCATTACACCCATACATAAATCCATATAAAATTTGAGAGCACTTGGTTAGGTCTGTAGTCAGTATATATGTGACAGGCCCATAGCAATTATGATAATTCATGCTTCATGCAATCATTTGTTACCTCAAGCTATGTTCAATGCTGCTGCCACATATTTTATATCATATGTTTGTGTCAGCTGATAAAATCAATAGACGCCCAATTATTGTTATTTATTCATCTTTATAATTTATTTGAAAATTGGTGAACATCAGTCTATTGATTTCCACAAAAATTAAAATAGAATAAAATGATGTTGTGATCTACATATATATTTGTGATCTAAATATATAAAACAACGATGACAAATAATAATAATAATAATAATAACCCCACTTTTTCTACAAGCACCAAAGTGATCAGAAGTCACATAAACATATCAACTATCAAAATTTACTTCTCAATTCAAACTCACCGTTCATAACTCTCTCCTCCCTATCTCTGGCTTGTTTATCTCTGGCCTGGCCACTGTTCTGATTGTGGTCAGTTTTAGCCTTATCATCTGACCATTGGTCATCCTCCCCCCACCAGGACGGCTGACCGTAGAGTGGAGTCCCTTTCTTCACTGTTGCCAATTCCTCTTCACCTAGAACATAGAGACCAAGTCAGGAATGTCACAACTGTGTTGTTGTCTCTTAGTTTACTTCTCATGATCCGGTACTGTGTATACAAACATTCCTCTATTAAGAGTAGTGATTGACTGAAGAGGGCGCTTTCCAAGATGAGCTTTTTCTAGCTAAAATAACAGGGCTTTTCAAATGTATGCAGTGGTATTACTACTGATATCCTAGAGTGTTTGCTTTGTGAGGTTCTGATTTACAAAGTAAAGCAAAATCTTTCCTATAGGTAGATTGGAAAAGTTATTTTATGTCTGCTTATCCTTTCAAAGAAATTCAAAACAGTCAAAATACATAAAATTTGCCCCCCATTTCCATAGGACAAGAGACGTACTAGAACTTTCAAATCTAAAAGAGACAGGCATAACTTTCCAGGCAACACATCTTGCACACTATCCTTTTATAAAAATGTAAATGAATACAGATTATATTGCCACTGACTGGGCACTTGTTAAACAACCTACAGTGCTGAATAAATCTATATTAAACCACTGGTTGCTTCTTATATGAATGCATCTCTATCTCCAAGTCCTTCTCAACGATAACAATATTATACTGTTAAACATCCAAAACTAAACACAAAGCTTACCTGCCATAAGGGATGACTGTGGTTGTATTTAAATCACCATCATATTAAAAATACATAACCCCAAAGTATCAAAATATCCAACACTTCCAACTGGTTTGCCCTTCAGATTCCTTTCCCCAATCAACTGAATGCCTAGCATGTTATATGAACCCTATTAGAAATGCTGAGGCCAGGGCTTCCTTACTTACAGTATCAAGCCAGTATAATGCATTCCAGTGAAGACAGTGCACACTGCTATAGGCCAGGTTTCCTTCTAGCTAGCAACAAAAGGATGTATCTGGTATCTGGTTGTTCAGACAAGGATATTTTAGAACGGACAGTGGGCAAACACACAAGACAGATTAACCAGGCATGTTCTATAAATGATGCAGAGATGACATGGTCTTATTGAATTTGCAAGCTAGTCCAATTTCAAGTCCTCAGTTGGTCTTTAGTTGCCCTCATCTGAATACACCTTAACTTTTCCCTCCTGTGAAAACAGCAACTGCCCCATACTTAAACAGAACCTTGTTTAAGTGATAATAACAGAAGGTCCCTATATCTGTATATTCATTCAGTACAATGGGCAAGTCTGGTAGAAATGCACTGCGTATGTAAGTCCAGTTCAGAGCAGGACAGACTTATATCATAAAATAAGTGCTATACCACAATAGTTAGTTCAGGTGTGAATGCAATCTGAATATTTACCAGACAGCAGTTAACTGATATGGTGAGGATACTCTGTCTGCTGTTTAATGTTCATTACTAAGTGGAAGTCCACACATAAATCAGACCTGTTCGAAAGAACCCCCCTTTTGCCGGAAAGGTCCTCCGTGGATAAAATTTAATCTAGGTTTCTGTAGGTTTCATGGCAAAAGGTCCACTTTTTCTGCAAATGACCCCCCTCCCTTTTGAGATCACTGGCTATGGGCCTGCAAATGCCCCTTTCCACCTCTCTCAGGTAGAAGCACTCTAAAGAATGCCATTTCATTGCTCCCTATCTGTTTACTGCAGTATACCTGTGATTTACTTTATAATATGATGTACATCACAAATGTGATGAAAGTGTGCAACAGACATAGTTCATTGGTAGCTTAATAGACTCCCCCTGCATTACATTCAGATACCAGTGAATCTTAATTCAAAATGTTGGCAAATTAAAACTGACTTCTGTTTAAAAATCAGTGAAATGCTCAATACATACAAGGATGAAACAAGTAAATACATTAAAAACCAGCTAATAATCAGCTAATATTCTATCATTTTATAAATGTAATGATGTACTGGATTTGCTCCATTTTTATGTTTTAAAAATCTACCTGTCAAACTTCTCCTGTGATCTAGCCTGGCCTGGAATGTGGTAGATGTGCCGTCTGATTGCGCGGGATCTTTTCCCTCTCCATAATCAATCTCCTGTGTGATACTGAAACCAGGATGTGCAATCCTTTCTAAACTTGGCACAGACTGTGTATAGCTTAGGCCGCCGTAGAGATATCGAGATCTGGACTCATTTCCTGGCGTAATCGACCCAGACATTGTTCTTGACTCCCCAGTGGAGTACGGGATAACTGGACTTCGTTGTTGCATGGCACGTAGATTAGTCTCGCTCCTTGAATAATTTGGATGGAATGATGCTGAGGGGTTGGCAGATGTCCTTGTCGAGACATAACTATTTTCATAAACTTTCTCCTGAGATTTGCTGCACCTTAACCCATTACCGTAGACTCCATTTGTGAAAGCAGTTGCATAATCATGTGAGCGTCTCCTGCGCATCTGCCATCGATTGTACGTTCCGTGTCCATTGCATGTGTGTGGGACTGGGTCGTGTTTTTCATCTGTTGTGTCTCCGAGTTCTGGGTTTCCTCCACAGGTGTGCTTAATGTCCTGTTCTACAATGCAGCCCTGCGTAAAAAAAGAAAATAACGTGTTACACTCTGTAAGGTCCATGAACGAAAAAAAAAATTATTATGAGAAAAAACACAACGTGTCACACAAGATAAAATTCACAGTAAAACCAGGGATGAGACTAATCTTCTCTGAAAAAGTCCAGGGGTCCAAGGTACACGATTCACAAAAATGATCCAAATGACCCGACAAAAGTGAGAAAAGTTGGATCAATGTAAAACACACTATTGTCTTCATTACCTGACATTCAGCCATGGGCGAGACTTCCTTACTGGCCCACGCAGGAGGTCGGTCAGGTGACATATGTTCTCCCGTCCCATCTGTTTCCTCTATTCTGAACACCATAGGATGTGCACAGTGTTAAGGATCTCATTATCATAATTATATTGTGCTGCCCTCACACACCTTAGAATGACTTGATGCTACTTAAATATAATTTTGTTACTGTTAAAAGACCTCAAACCTCGTTATTACTTTCTCAATCTATATTATTTCATTTAAAAATAGACTTGCCTATTTCATCTCCCAGAAAATATTTTCAATCTTTGATGTTTACTAGTAACAGTATTAAGAGGATCGAGTGAGACATTTATAACCTTTAAATATATGTAAATGTATGCATGCGCCTACCAATGCATACATATACATAAACAAATATATCATATAATTAGATGCTTGTTGTAAGGATATCATAGCCAAACCTTATGGTATCTAGGTTTTCAAGAGCTACATAGGTCTGTTCTGGGATCCTTGACTCATTCACATATGTCTGAAAAGAATTAGTAACCTACATTTACAATGCAAAATACACATACAAGAAACTTGTGTCCATGTCGTATTATACTGTGAACACAAAACAACTAAAAAATGCTGCTGACTATAAATATGATAACGGTTACTGTTTGTATAGTAAAATAATTACACCTTAAACACACTTAAAATGCCTTTAGAACTTTATATAATCTTTTTCAATATGATATAATAATAATAAGTCAAATTCTCTGGTCTGTACTTGAGAGAATGACTCAAAAACAAGAAAATTAAGTAAAAGACCGTCCTCCAATGGAGGTTGAACTCCTTGTTGTTACTGTTAATAAAAAGTTTGTAACTCACCCCATTCAGACTACTGAGATCTTTGATTTTAAACTTTTTTGAATAATGATCAAAAGTGATAACAGCATGCCTTTTATCAACACTTCGTGACTGAAAATAAATTAAAAAAATTAATGGATTATAAAAAAATAAACGCCACCTAAACAGAGCACATGCTACTAAACATTAAAAAGAGCTCTTTCACTTCTCTTATTCACTGATAGGCTTTCCCACCCCTACCTATACAATATAGAAGACCTGCTTTTCAAAGAAAATGGTTTCAAATAACAATGTAACTGGGTCATTCCATGTCAACTCACAGGGATCCTCTTGCTGAATATGATACCCAAATACTACATGAAGGAAGCGCACAATTTTTACGAGATTACAAATTGTATTTTATTGTTTGGTTCCATTGCCTTGCTTTCAATAATTAGAACAGGCACTCAAAAATCGTAAGATGAAGTTAAAAATTTTAAATTGGCCGAGTTCGCCCCCTGTTTAGAATATCCTCACAGCATTATCTGCAGTTAACCTTCCTACGATTTTCAATGTATTTTGCAATATAATTTTCAATCTGCCCCATGAAGAATTTTATTAATCTAGAGTGGGGGAGGAGTGAAAAATCCCCTTGGGGCCACATACAACACTATAAATGCGAAATAAATGTTTATCTAAAGTAATCCCCATGGATTTGATTTCTTATACATACAATCAACAGAACATTTCTAATATAATTTCTCAAAACAACACCAGAAAGCAAATTAAGAGTGCGTCCATGAGAAAGCCAGACAGATCAGTCAGAAGGCGGCAAGGTGGGGGTCAGCAGATTTTAATAATTTTTGGTGTGGTAAACCATCAAGATGAAAGATATTGTGAGCCACTGGCTTTCTTATTTTGGATCATTTGTTTTAGAGATATGGGGCAAGGTCTTTTATTGGCAAAATATAGCTTTTTTAGCTCTAGAAAAGTTATAATTTTAAATATTCTTTTAAAAAATCATGTACATCATAAGGAATTATTTAAATAAGCCATATGATGGGTTGAGGAAAGACCTTTAATACCCAATACAAATTTTTCAACATGGCAGGTACTAGGATTATTACCGGTGTGGCATGATAGACCCGTGCCGTGACGAAACCGTTCTGCACATGAGCACTGAGGGTAGATTGAAAGAAGTAACTTCCGGTATGACGATGTCGTCCTAAGTAGGCGCTATGTTTGCACTGAACTATGATTTTCCAATTCATAATTCAGTGGTTTTCGTCATGAGAGAGCATGTATTTGATAATCTTATTACTACAGTATACGGGGGAATGTTGGAAGTGAGCTTTTGATCGTGACTGAACTGTTTTGCTCTGCGTGAAAAACGTGGCAGATTTAAGACTCGTTGTATAAATCTTTTCACTCTACTATGTTCTTTCAATTCAGAGTTCAATCATTTTCATTAAAAAGAAATTGTGTGTTTGATAATACTACAACTTTCTCTATGGGGAAATGTTGAAAATGCATGTGCAACTACGTACTGTTAGTCAACAGACTGCTACCCCCGCGTGAATAATCCGTCAGAACGGTTTATTCACGACGATGGTTTCTTCACGTGACACCGGAACAACTGTGGAGCAGTGTTAAAACATACTGCTTTTTTAATTTTAAGAAGAACACGCACTAGAGATGCTTATGTACATCTCAGAAGGAATGGTGTGCGCCAGAATATAACAAGAAAAGGACCATAGCAGCTGGTCGTCCTTAGAATGTGCATTTTTTTGTTGAACCACTTCAGACTGTTGTCAGGCTTGGGTTCCCAGCTCATCGATTTAGCTCTGGATGTTTGTTGTAAGGTAAGTGATCATATATATATATATATATAAACAGACAAAGTCAGTTCTGCCACTATTTCAGGTACTATCTTCTATGAAGTAATAACCTACCGCTTTTTCTTTGTGTCAGTGGTGGAATGCATATACTAGAATAAGATACACTAAAAACTCAAACCAGTTTAAATAATAAGTTTGAATATTATTTAGTAATATAAAGAATATTAAGCAGAATTAAAAGACGTACTGGTATATTTCAATTCACAGAATTTTACTTGATTTCTGTTTAATGGTAAACATGCCTGCTGAAATGAATTAACTGTGTATCTAACTTATGAAGTATATTTTTACATTAAATTCTAGGGCTTTGTTACATGTGTTAGCATAACACAAACAGTTAAGGACAACTGAGCTTGTAGACAGCTTCATTAGAAATTTCCTACCCAGAATCAAAGGTATGTAACACACATTCAGTTTCAAGTTTTGGCATTTTAGGGGATGTTACTTGTGCCAGTTTTTTATGTTTTAGTTTTATATTCACTATGCAGATTTATGTGTGTTTACAATGAAGTTGAAGTTAACCACTTAGCTTTATGTTACCTTGTAACACACTGTGCTTCAATTTTCAAGACTTACATATTACACAGGACACTTGTAACTAAAAGTACTTTAGTAAAATCTGGAAAACTTTGCAATCCATTATGTTGTTCATGTTGCTTTGCAAGGGGGTGTGACAGACAATTAAGCTGATTACAACGACTGAGCCTGAGTGTGATACTCTGCTGAGATAGATTGATCCTGCTACAATAGTTTCTATTCTGAACACAGAAAACCTCTGTTATTGTAAAGCATTTATTGATGTTATGTATATTTTTCAAATTTTACATCCTAGGCCTGGATGTGAACCTTGACCTGGACAATCTTACAGACAATAATAGAAGAGTCACCTAAAATTGCACTGGCAAATTCATCAGATTTGGATGTGAGCACCCACTCTGTAATGCCTGGAACACTTCCACGGAGAAGAAAAAGGTTTACCTTTTCTCATTTGTTTCTTTTTCTATCATAAAATTCTGGTAGCTACAAGCATGCATATTTGAATGCATTTTCAATCATTGTTTTTACTTATGGAATATGTTTGATCGGAATATTATTTAGTCATTGTTTTTATACAGCAATTAAAATAAGTTTAAAATATTTTTAACATATTTCTTTTGACAGCCTGTCCTGCCATCTTCAGGTAGATGCAGTAGTGGATATCCTGGCAAACCTTTATTGGACTTAGAGCCACCTTGGGACAACCCCCCATAACAAATGTTCATATTAGGCTTGGCAACCTCAATCAGTTTTGTAGGAAAGGAGGATTGGCACCAGTGGATTGACAAGTATTGACAATTGACAGTTCAGTCACACTAAACTATAGTGGCATGTTGCTTCAAGTTACCATACTTATTCTAAGATTGCTGAATTATCATTACTGTCTTAGGAGACCCTAGATCTCTCAACCAGAAGAAGAAACTTGGGGATCAATCAGTTATAAGATTAAAATCTCTTGAACACTACCCATCACTGTTGTGTTCAGTATATGGAAAAGATGACCCTGATATTGGAACCACTTGAGATTCATAACTTGCTTTCACTCCTGTGAAAAGTAACTGCTTTGTCCTTTTACTGTCCAATTAATAATATGAAAGTAAAATACTCCTTCTGTCATTGTATGTTGAGGAGGTGTTTGGGAGGTGGTCTCTGGTGATTTCCTATGTATGGGAGAAATGAGATCGGAAGTGCTTGGGTTGTGATATTCTGTTAAATCCCTATGTAAGGGAAAGATGAGCTCGGGAGAGCTGTTGGGATGTTATATCCTTATGATTCCTTAAAAAGGGAAAGGTGAGCTTGGAAGAGCTGTTTGGATGTCATATCCTGGTGATTCCCTTTGTAAAGGAAAGATGAACTCGAAAGAGCTGTTTGGGAGGTGGTCTCTGGTGATTTCCTATGTAAGGGAAAGATGAGCTCGGAAGAGCTGTTTGGGATGTGATATCCCAGTGATTCTCTAGGTAAGGGAAAGATGAGCTCGGAAGAGCTATTGGGATGTGATATCCCGGTGATTCCCTAGGTAAGGGATGATGAGCTCGGAAGAGCTGTTTGGGATGTGATATCCCGGTGATTCCCTAGGTAAGGGAAAGATGAGCTCTGAAGAGCTGTTGGGATGTGATATCCCAGTGATTCCCAATGTAAGGGAAAGATAAGCTAGGAAGAGCTGTTGGGATGTGATATCCCGGTGATTCCCTAGGTAAGGGAAAGATGAGCTCAGAAGAGCTGTTAGGGATGTGATATCCTGGTGATTCCTTTTTATACATAAAAGGAAGAGATGATACAGAGGTTTGGTGAAGAGAGGGTCTCCTCGTGTTTATAATTTATTTATTTAATTATTTGTTTATGCTGTTTGTAAATGATTGAAGATGGTTTGGAATAAAATTTGTGCGCTAACTGCATCCATGTGCACTTCAAATGTTGTTTGTGTTGTTTTATTATTAATGTTATGCAGTGTCGGTTATGGTCTAGGAGAATTGCCCTTATCAAACCATTGTTTGAATTCCTGGCTGTTAGTCTTTGATTAAATTTGATTATTGGAAAGTATTATCTCAAAATGTACTGATATCTTGATTTTGGATGTTTGGTTTTCTGCTAAAATTGCTAAAGTCTGAGGTACTTTTTCAATATCTTCTATTGTGTTTAACACGCTTTTTAAATTTTGTATGATGAGACCAATATATGCTCAGGATCCCTACACAATTTTATGGCTGTCAACCCTGCAAAAAGAGAGATATGAATGCTTGAACATTGCTTGGTAGAAAAGTGAGGTTGGGGGTGGGGTTATAAAAATTGGCGTGGCTCGTTAGTTTGTGGGTTAAACTGAAATTAAGTAACATATTCTCAATGGCAAATGGCTGGTTTAAATAGCTTAATTATCAAATTATTTAAAAAAGCCATTAGCTTTGACATATTTGCTCATGAAGTGGCTTTATTGACCGAAGCTGAAAATCAAGCCAGAAATGGCCAAAACATTTAATATTATATTATAATTATATCCAATGATTTCTTTTGGGATTGTTGCCTTCAATGTGAATATCTCCTATGTGTGCAACTATATTATGAATTTAGTTGAAATCTGTTGACCCCCAACTTGCCACCCTCTGACTGGTCTTATCATGGACACACACTTAAAAAAATCAAATCAACTAGACGGTAAACACCGACAGGCTTTATCAATTTCTCTATTTGTTTATTTCAAACAGTGTACTTTTCGCGCATGCGCAGTCGTTTGCTCATGAAGGGCGGACATGTGACATCACATTGCCTTATAAGGTTCTTTTTCTAAATATTCCCAAAAATCACAAAAATTCCCATGAAAGTAAGATTTTGGGAGCATTCCAAATAGATGTTATTTTAGTAATGATGGAAAATTTCCTTCACTACAAATTTGCAGGACTAAGAATTCTCAGAGCAATTTCTAGGCATTAAAACACAAATTCTTATTCATTATCCTCAAAGCACGACAGCAACCCATTCTGCATTGGATCCTATATATAATTCCAAAATCATCGCGCTATTCAATACGATGGCTGAGCGTTGTGTCATTTGCCATTCCAAGTTAAGGAGATCTAAATTAATTTGGAAATGTACACAATGTAAGAAAAAAATCCATCAACAGTGCATAGAAAAATGGTGGAAATATTGTTGTTCTTGTCCCCATTGCAGATATGTTGACTATAACACGATCTGTATGCAGGACCCTAGAACACACTATGAACAATTTGAAACACCTGACGACCCAGAGGGTTATATATAAATGCACTCACATCTCCTGCTAAAGCAGTCTGAGATGGCAGGTCAAGCGCAATGATCAGAGGCCGTATTTTTTACCTCTGCCACTGAGGTTGTTTACAGTTATGGATTAATTTTTGGAATTTCTTCTCAGGAGAGATCTGAAAGGGGCTAACTTGGGAATGATAAAACATAAATCAATAATAAAAAGATCTGAGTTGCCTGGGCAGGGGTCTCTTTGACCACTGAGTTCAGCAAAGGTATCTATTCATAGGTAGTGAAGTGGGGGAAACTGTAGGAAACCCAAATGATATCAGTTGTATTCTTGGGTTTATCAGAAGGTTTTACAAAAAAGTATAAGATCAGGCAGAAACGACAGTTAATCTCTTTAACAGGTACTCATCTATACACAGCTTCAAGCAGTATGTCAATGATATTACCCTACATTATTCCTTGTAAAAACCTACTGCATACTGCTGATCTTTTTCCTTTAGTGATAACTGGGAGATTACATAACACAAACAATGCAAATGAAATATCTTTTAATACTAAATGCTAAGAACTTTAAGAAGCTGCTAAAATAACATATTAGTTATCAGATATTCAGATTTCCAATTCATCAATAGTGAAATATATTATTAAGAAGATAAGAATAAAATAAAAAGCACCAACCTGTAGGGATATATCACACTCGTCTCTGCCAAGGAATACCATACTGTGTTTGAGCTTGTGAGGCACACCATTGCGATCCACCAGAGCCCACTGTGGCATCTCCTGACCTGACATCTCACACTGAAACCAATCAACATAATGAGATATTGTTCATAATTTACAGGCTTGTCTTGGTAGGTACAGGTGACATATTTTACCCATTTTCACATGAGAAATATTTATGAATTACACCTGGATAGCCAACAAAATGCATGTCAAATATGCTGAGGGTCTTGCACTTCAAACAAATGGTCTCCCCCCCCCACCCCCAATCATCATAGATTTAGTTTCGAAATATATCAATTCTGCAAGTTTATTATTGTTCAGAAAAACTGACGGAGTCTTCTTCGGGGTCGTCCAACACATACAATGTTGTTGTAAAACTTTGGAATGGTATCAACTCAATCTTAATATGCCATAAGTACATTAGCTGTGTGCTTTATCGCTTTACAGCAGTTCTATCAATAAGACAAGAACAGTCTAATCATTATAGTGATGTAGAGAATCAGTGTCATCTAATGGGACATCTGACTGTAATGACAAATCAGGATCATGATAATAATTCAGAATCTTGTAAGAAAAAACATTTTGAAACCTACTGTTCAGTGACATCTAAGGGTGCTTTCCCAGAGATTTAGATCGATCTAAAGATTAAGATTTAGATCGACCTAACTCCCTGGGGGTTCACGCTAAATTGCAGTCAGCCGAGCGGGCACCATTAGGGTGCTTTCCCAGAGATTTAGATCGATCTAAAGATTAAGATTTAGATCGACCTAACTCCCTGGGGGTTCACACTAAATTGCAGTCAGCCGAGCGGGCACCATAGTTAATTACCCCCTTACAGTTTTAGTAGGCGGGACAGATGCTTAAGCTGGCCAAGCTGATAGTAATCTAGTGAGACTCCCCGCAGGGATAGATCGATCTAAAATCTATGGGAATGGGGTGTAAATGTGGCATTTATTTTATGATTGCCTTTGTTTGGTATTGCTGTAAAATGCCTGATTCTATCATGTCCACCAGATACTTACATAGCAGTCTCAAGATACTTTCACATATTTCTAAAGATACAAGGCAAATAATTTTCAGAAGAACAACAGCATGCATACAAAGCCTGCTAGTTATCTGAGCTGTTGGGTCTACAAAGAAACACACTATAAAACCCTGTCTGCAGAATCACATGGCACAATCAAGATCTCCTGTTTTCCCAAATACAAACTTCGTAACTGTTGTTTCTGAGTCATATCTTCTGCAAACAAATATCATGGATAGAGCAGAATGGTGATACAAAAATTGCAACACATTGAACTTTTATTCGTCATGAGCAAGACTCAGACAGAATTTGCATTAAATTAAAAACCTCAGAACTGGAAGTGGAATAATTCAGATCAACTGAAAATATGGCAACATATTCACATCCCTAGACAAGGAATCTAATGACAACTGCCCTGTGACATCTTGGATATATAAGATCTTAAAATCTCCAATTAAATTACCTGAAACCCTTCATCCTGTAACATCAAATAATCACTACTTCTCTCCGGGTGGAATCCTAATATTTGTGGACACACATTATAAAAGCAGAGTCATATTTGTCTTACCTGAACCTCTTACTCATTGTTACCAATCTGACTGTTACCTAACCTGAATCAACACAACCCCACCTACATTTAGACTGGGTTCCCATTCCTGGATCAATCTAACAGGATCGCTCCATCTCCGAGGGGTTTCTAGTTAAATTGCTTTCAGCTTAAGCCGCTTATATGTCTGTCATGCCTACTGAAGCTGCTAAATGATAATTAATTACCCCCTAGCAGCTTCAGTAGGCATGACAGACATCTAAGCTTCTTAAGTTGATTGCAATTTTGCGAGAATCCACTTGGAGATAGTTCGATCCACAGTTAGTATGATAGGGTCTGGGAATGGTCCCTTACAAACTATATGCTTCAGGTAAACCCTTCTACAAGGTTTTTCAAACCAGAGAAGATATGCTACACATTGCCATTATTTGGTACTTGTATGGAACTCTTCCTTCTCGACAGACTCTAAAAGTACTTATGTACACATTTTAGATCTATGTCCATAACATAATAATGTTAATTATTATGTTCTGTCTTCAAATGGGCTATATGAGTATATCACTAATCATACATATTATTGTTCCTCATCAGTGTGAATAACATCCCAATATTTGTAAATATTTCAACTACAGTTTATGACAGCGTTAAAAATCCATAATTCAGCAAATTGTCCTGACCATAAACCATATACACTTACATATAAATATAAGCAACTCCTTACATACACAAAGCATCTAGGTTGCCTTATACCCAATTACACCAGGTATGTCCAGGTGCCAATATACCTAACACAACAAATCAAGTGACCAGAAGATGTAAACTTATTCATCAAATCCTCACACAGAGCCAGGAGGTACCATGGCATGAATAAACCAGGCTAAAGTTTGCAAATTCCAAACTTTGTTTGAATCAAATATTAGCTTACTTCCTGGCCTCTACATACAGCTCCACTGGGTCAGTTTATGGAGACCAGGTCAGACAGAGTGGTTCATTATAGAAAGAAGGTTTTGTGGCAAGCATTAAACATGCTATGCTTTAATAAACTTATTCAGAATAATGGCACATATTAGGGTTCTATTATACAGCATGTACTAGTTAACCTGACTATGCTTACACATTGAGTTTTAAAAGGTTTTGCTTCTATTAATATACAGACATATACAGAGACAGGCAGACAGGCATGTAAACACACAGACGGACAGACAGACAAATGGGCAGGCAGACAGATGGCACATTCAATGCAGACACACATATTTGCAAAATTATAGCCTTTAAAGTACTTGAATGAAATCCTAATAGAGAATCTGCCAACTATAGTAAATGTTAACACATTTTCTGTGACAACCAACCTAAAAAACATTTACTCAGGGAACCTGGTTTAAGATACAGCAAACCAATATATTGTCCAATCAAGTGTAATATTCACATTACAATATCAAGTGTAATATGCACCTTACAATATCATAAAAGTAGTCTCTGTAGGGGGGAGAAGGATGAAAATTCCTGAGTGTGATCGCATACTCTTCAATACAAATGTATAGGTTTGTAATGCTCAGCATTTGTACTGTAGTGTACCTAATGAATGCAATCAGATTAACAGACTTACACGCCTCCTTTTGTTTCCTTGTAAAATCACCAGCTTTTCAGTATTCTACTAGGAGTCCCCATCCAAACTCACTTATTCTGAACAATCCCTACGTTAAAACATGTCAACCAAAGTATGCCAGTACCTCGTAGCCTGCAGGATGGACCTGTACAATAAGCTACCACCTGTCAGACATTTAAATGCTAATACAAAGCCACACCAAGCTGGGTATTTCAATATTTTCTATCTTTGCCTTCACTAATGATGTAATTATCACAACATTTTCTTTCAAAGATATATCACAGGACCCCTAAAAAAAGACCTTCACCCACCTGTTGACTTCTTGAACATTAATGCCAACACCTGAACCTAACTCTAGTGGGCTGATTTATACTAAAATATTTACATAGCTTATCCTTCACTGCTTGGCTACACACACTTGTGTAGCATTACTATTCTGCAAGCAAGTCCTTTTTATTTAATCCTTTTTTTTCTTCTTTTGGTCCTTGGTTTGTACGACAGATAGCAATCTACTAAACAAACAATTAGTCATCACAGTACATAACCAACCACAAGATACTCCTGAACAAGTGTCTATTATGAACATACAATGATTGTAATTTTTCTTTTTACCTCATTCTATACGCGCAGATACAGATGTATAAAACATATCATTGCTGTCATCACATGCACTACATGGGAATAATGGAAATTCATTGTTCATGAGAGCAAAATACTTGTCGCTTCTCTATCATCTTGAAGACACATTTGCGGTTTGGCATTTAAAGTACCTGTTTGCTGGGAGGGTAGTCTAAGTTTGATCTTATTTTGATTTGTAAAGCCAAAATAACTTGAATATTTTTAATACAAAATTATTTCTCAGCATTAAGAAAAATGAATTATGTTTTTTCTAGCCACTTGCCACACTGGATATGGAATGTGATCTAGATTAATGTTGACTAGCAAGGGACTTTAGATTACGGATTTGTTAGACTTTTGGATATCATAAATTATTTATCAACTATGAAAGAATAATTATAAATGCCCCACCCCACCATTAAAAGTGAAATAAGCACTTTGTACTTTAGAAAATGAGTGTAAAAAACATGCTACGCTATGCAGGATAAAAAAATTCAACTAAACGGTTTCATCTTGAATAAAAAATCTTTAAAAAAGATTCATATAAATAACAACTTGTAATGTCATCAATAGCAGCTGTTACCTAAGAGCTTATCATAACATATAACAGAAGACACCTACTGGACACTGATATTTAGTTCCCCGTCTGTAAGACTGCCAAAGATCCCCCAGAGATCTCGTCCTCTTCTTTTGCCAGCTTTGGAATGTTATTCCCGCCATCTTGTTAGGAGTGATTAATGTTAAAAAATGCAACAAACTTCACCAAGCCTCTCTCAGGTTAAAAGAAATTTCCTACTTGATCGGTGAATCTTGAATTAAAGGCTAAGTTGTCTCCTGTGAAGAAAGTTCTGTTGAGATTCACATATAAAATGACAAAAGAATGGCACTGTTTGGTATACAAATAGCTATAGAGGCACCTGACGTATTCAGCAAAATGTATCCCTGCAATACACCGTAACTCTAAGCTAAGACAGACTTTTTAAGTGTCAGGCAATCATTTCCGCTATCTGTCTCGCCCGTGACACAAAGACGACAATGTCAGTGACACGCAGTATCAAAGGAGACAATAAATCCATAAATCCCTTACATAAAAGTCATTTCACGAGTGAGTTCAGTTGATGCTATGTAGAAGAGTTTGCAGGTGCCCTCTCTGGCTGTCCCTCCCTTCCTAGAGAAGAATTAGAATTCCTGTCAGCACGACCTGCCCAGTTATAACATGTCCCATCAAACTGGCACTTAATGAGATACCATCAGATGGCCTGTCCCTAGCTCAGGGAAAGTCTTTATGGGGGTCATAGTTTAGAATAAGACTTCTCTAATTTTGACACGACCCATCAGTTGTGTGTCTTGTCCAATTAATGAAGTGTCAGTCTTAGCTATCTCTCTTTTTTTGTTACAGCATACTGTGCCGTTTCCTGAGGCACTGAGTGTATTTAATCCCTGGCAAAATTGGATTTCCTCTCTGCAAAATTCTGTCATATTTTGTATCAATCAGTGCATGTTTCTGGTGGCAATACGACACTTTCCTTGGACAAACAAATCCTATTAAGACTTCATACGCCTTTTTTTGTTTTTAGTTCTTGATTTCACTGGTATGCAATCATTAACATTGTTCTCTGCCTTGCTGACCTGAATAATTTGTCAAGGAATCTGCTGTAAAAAATCTACAAAAAGTCCCTTATGGTGGTTCATCTATAAATGTCTCCTTTCCTCTCTTTGTACTCCATTTGAACTCTGGAATTTATTTTCTTAAAATGTTTCCACTAAGAAAACTGAAAATTTGTCTTCCTCTTCTCTCTGGTAGGACTTAGTTAGCTGTTGTATGAACTGAAGGCTTTAAAAAAGATTGATCGTACCAGCACTGGCAATCATACTTCAGTACCCAGCTCAGCCCCAATGCCCCAGAGACACAATACAGGTCCAAAACATATGGTTTAAACCTCTGCCAAGGCACTCCAAGGAAAAAAAGGAAAAAAAAATGAACCTGTTCTCACATAGCCTTTATGTAGAGAGAGGCCACAGCCCCTATGTCTGTTGTACATGAAAAGAATTTCAATGATCATCCTCGCAGGGTTCCACATCCTCGTCACCACTGTGCACTACTCAATCTTACGTGTTCTCAAGGCAACCACCTCTATGCATATGCAGTAACATGCATTCTTGAAATTGCCAGGTGAAATAAATTTAAATAAGAACTTCATGCTTAAAGGAAAATAATTACCTTAAAATTTCCAGCGTAGCTATAAGCAGCTTAGCGACAGTAATGATGGACTTCACAATGGGTTAGTCTGTAATGTAAGTCTTCAGTGAAAGGCATGTCTCCATCCTGCACAATCTTAAGCAGACTAAATGTTAAATCTTTAGCTGACTAAATGCTGTCACAACTGTAATGCGACAAGGCAGCTGTCTGTCGGAAGGTGTCACCCCATATAACACCCAGATACCAGGGTCTATCCAATCATGATATTGAGCAATTTATAAATCTAAATGTCCACTGTGGTTAATCTTAGCGGTTGACAGGCCCAGGGTAACTCTCCATTGACAGGTAAGTGCCAGTGACAATACCACAGAATACTATTTTTTTATTTTAATTTCTTTCTTACTCCTTTGCTTTGGTTACATTTGTATTGCTCACTGGCATATCAGTGACTTACTCAGTGTATAATTAAACAGGTGCTTGGGACTAAAATGAAAGTAAACACCAGATATGTTCACCTTTTATCCTAAAAACGTGCCCAGCATTTCATCTCCCTGTGATGTTTATGAACTTGGTATTCTTGTGCTACTGGCTAAATAGACAAGTGAAAAGGTTAAGCTTTTAGATCTTTTACAGAATGTTCCTGTATCTCAAAGGTGTGACATAACTGCAAGTCTAGGTAGATTTTAGAGGTATTAGGTTTTTGTGTTGATAGAAATGCTAGGAGGCACCCAGGATGTCAGAGTTTATAGAAGGCCACCTTCTCGACCATAACCAGCATATGGGTGGGAAATGCTGGCTACAATGAGTCTCAGTTATAATTCTAAACTTCAGGGTGAAGGATGGCTGCTGCTTTTTCAATATGAATGGAATTTTTTCCACTAGACAGAAAAAGAAGATGAAGTATTTTTCTATGAGCTTTCCTTGCAAAGAGACCTGACAACCAAAGTTAACATGGTGCCCCCTTGTGTTATCCATTTGTTTAACTGTCAGGAGAGCAATTTAAGTATTCAAAATATATGCTGAAAAAGAAAATTTGGACATCATTTATTTATTTATCAAATTATAAATTTGCAGTTAATAAAATATCATTTTCAATACTAAAATTTCAATAAAAAGGAAAATTATGGTCAGACAACCAAAATATAAAATACATTATCAAATACCATTAAGTGCACACTAATTTACTGATATTAGTTTGATTCTGTAACAAAGTGCAATGTGACATAAAAACACGGAAAACTTTTTCTGCTCATATCTTTATACCCAATACAGATATCATCTTCTGTTGACATTTACAAATATCTACCTCCTTCAATGTGACCAGAGCAAATAAATAAAAATGTGATAAGAAATTTCAGTTCACCTGTCTGCAGAAGCAGACGATACACCTCAATATGACATCTTTACGACCAAAGATCTTCGAAGATCTGAGGCAACTTCCGTCCATATGACAACAAAAAGCCATTTACGAAGTGTGAAAAGAGGAAAGATTGTGATAAAGGTTGCACTGACCACTGGGTACCCATAACCTCTGTCATAATGATAAAAACTGACCCATGCTAGCATCACTGAACCCCTCCATTACAACTATACAACACTTTTTTATCAGATTTTTCTATCAAAGGCCCCCGTCTGGTACGCTTGGTCTGGCTTTGATAAAATACCTGATAAATACTGCTGTGCACAAGACTATCTCATTCAGTCGCTGCAACCGTGTAAATAAAAAAAGAAAGATAACTGGGTTCAAGTTATAGTGGGAAGAGAACAAAGGAAGAGAAAAGGACATTTCTTTGATATAAAACATCAGATTCAGGCTACCAACTGCATAAACCCAGTTACTTACTATGTGAATTTTGAATGTTCAATTTAATTTCCTAATACCATGATAAAAAATAGTTCTACTAGGATCAGTATAACAACTAAGACTGGGTTCCCATCCCTAGCTCAATCTAACAGGATCGGTCCATCTCCATAGGGTTTCTCACTAAATTGCTTTCAGCTTAAGTGGCTTTGATGTCTGGCACACCTGCTAAAGCTGCTAAACAATAGTTACCCCCTATCAGCTTCAGTAGGCGTGACAGACATCTAAGCCACTTAAGTTAATTGCAATTAAGCAAGAATCGCCTTGGAGATAGTTCGATCCAAAGTGAGTACAATACTCTCTGGGAATGGTCTCTTCTTACTTACAAACTACCATTACTGTTAGTATCTGTTGAACTTCACAGCTGTGTCAAGGCGTGGTGGCTTCTTCAATGTTCACAGTATTGTGCAATATCAAAATAGCAATGACATGCAAATATACAAGTCAGATTATGTTTTTACTTTAAAAACATTACTTGGGAAGTCTATCTCATGATGTTCTTCTTCTTCTTCTTATTATTATTATTATATTTATCATTACTACAATTAGAGAAAAAGTTCTTCATTGACAGAATACAAATATTTGTTTATGTTAAAAAATATTGATTACACATGTGATGATGCTTTGATCATCCTAAATTTTTCAATCAAGCTTGTTCCTATTCAGAGTAAAGCTATGATGCTGGTTCATACCATCTATTTGCTCAGTTCCTCACTCAACTTATATCTGCTGCTTCAGATGAGGCACCTGCAGCTCTCATACATAATATCTAAACTGTAAGTTATACATCTTAATGTCAGTTTTTACGCCACATCTCCTCGCTAGGTGGTTCATCAGTAAGAGAGTGTGCCTTTCACCTGGTCTCTTTGGTTAACCAAATCACTCCCTGTCCTAAGATCTAGATAATAATGCTCAAGTCTTACACTGTTTACAAGCTAACTCCAGCCTGTAAGTGCTCACTGTGAGTTAGGACATTGCATTCAGTGTAAGATCTGAATACAATGTTTATAGATAAGTTAAGGAAGCCACAGAAAACTATTAATATTAGACAATTCACCACCGTCTTTATGACATATAAGGTATTGGACACAACTAAGTCCAATCAGTTTCTCTTTTACACCACTGTATTGATGAAATAAAAAACCAGTCATTTGAAATCACACTACTAGTATTCTCAGACCACTCATTGCTGTATTTATGACACATAAGCTATAAGGCCCAATTAAGTTCAATCAGTTTCTCTTCTATGGAAACCAATCATTTGGTAATAATTTTAGACATCTCAAGCTCGACCCACCTCAGCTTACCTTCATGTATTTCTTCATCAGGTAGATCATGGCTGTGTCAGTGCTAAGGTGAAGTGTCCTTGCATGTGCAGTACAATCAGTACTTTCCTACACTGCACCCAGGCAGTCAGTCCACCAGATAACCAGGCAGACAATACCTGCACAATACACTACAATATAGACCAAGGTCCACAAAGTTCCTTAGCTGTTCCCCAGCAATAATCACTTCATTCACTCAAGGTGCCTTATCATGAGACCAATCTACCCGTGCCCAAAATCTGAGACCCAATTAATATACTGTTTAATGAGCCCTTGCCTGAATTAATGGGGCTCTTTAGAAATTAATCAACCATGAGCTAGCTATGGTTCAGGTTTTCCATGGTGTGTGATGGGCCAGGAAGGCTGGATAATCAACCTGTAGACACTGAGATGACATCTGAAGTGTTGTGTAATACATGGTCCTGGCTTGAGACATGGGTGACCAGGTAAGATACAGGATACAGAAGAGGAGAAATATGTTGACTAATATGAACATACAGAAAATAAATGATAACAAATTATCTTGTTAAGTGTGTGTGTGTGTGTGTGTGTGTGTGTGTGTGTGTGTGTGAGAGAGAGAGAGAGAGAGAGAGAAAACAACAGCTAACAAAATGCATTTGGCAAAAAAAAATCATTGTTGCCTTAAAATACATTATCAGCCCTGCCATTGATAATACCATGTAAAGAANAAGTGTGTGTGTGTGTGTGTGTGTGTGTGTGTGTGTGTGTGAGAGAGAGAGAGAGAGAGAGAGAGAAAACAACAGCTAACAAAATGCATTTGGCAAAAAAAAATCATTGTTGCCTTAAAATACATTATCAGCCCTGCCATTGATAATACCATGTAAAGAATTTTCAGGGCAAGCCAGCTATAAAACAGCCCCTTAACCTGCTGGCATTTCCACACAGTTCACCCTCCAGGAGCCTCCTTAATGCCTCATTAATTATCACACCTCTCCTGATTGGGACAACACACAGCCATAAATAACCACTTAATATTCAGCTCTCTCTCCTGTATGGA